TTTTGGGAGCAGGACACATCTGATAATGCTCAGAGGTTGCTCCTGTTGGTGCTCGGTGGACCACATGTTTGACCACCTGGGGTCCAGGGCTGGAACCCGGCTCAGCCCGCCTGCCGAGCACGTGCCCTCCCCGCCGCGCTGTTCACCCTTTCTTCTTTTCGAAATGAGTTTTCCTTCCCCGTTCAGTTGCTCTTGCACCTTTGCAGAATCGGGTGCCCGTATTGATCTGGGTCTATTTCTAGACTGTTCCTTTGATCTCTGTCTGTACTGCCAGACCACACTGCCTTGCGTGCTTCTCCCTCAGGGGCAAGTCTGAGTAGGGCGCTGTGTCGTGACGCTTCAGCCCCCATTTACTCTTCCTATCCTGTTGCCTGCTGCTGTTAGTATAGGTTATTTTATTATCACTTACTGTTGCTAAAATTGTCCCAGATTATGTTAATGGGAGCACAGTTTCTCCCGTTCTAGAAGAGCAGATATCCTCGGGTTCTCTTCCAGGCTTCCTCCTCTAGCATGGCTGTTTCTCCGGGGGACCGAGGGCTCTGACTGGGGGTGGCATTTAGGAACCGAGCTTGAGAGCTGGTGCACAGCTTGTTCCCGCGTTATTACCTTTCCACCGGGCCCTCTCGGTGGGCAGAGTTGGGAAATACCTCGCTTCCCAAAAATGCGAATGTACCATTTCATATGCCCTCCAGCAGGCCATGAGCGTTTTCAGCTGCGACCTCAGTAATGCCAGGAGGTTTCGTTCTGCGATGTCGTGTTGGTTTTTTTGGCTCTGCAGAACCGCCCCTGGCCTGCTTGGGGTGGGGTGGCAGGGGTGCCAGGGATCGAGCCCCGTTTGGCCACGTGCACGGCAAGCACCTTCCCTGCTGAACTATTGCTCCGGCTCCTTGCTTGGTTTGAATTAGCCTTTTCCAACGACTTGATTTTTAATATTGATTAAAGCATTAAATTATTAACTTGTTTATTAAAGTAGACCGTTTAAAGATGGCAGGCTGGGGTGGATAGGGGAGGGAACCGAGGGCCATGGTGGAGGGAAGCTGGCGCTGGTGGCGGTGATGGAATATTGTAAGTCAAAAATCCAACTATGAATAACTTTGTAGCTCAGGATGCTTTAATAAAATAAAATTTCGGAGAAAAAAGCTCACTTGACAAATTAAAAAATTAAAAGAAAGTATTAATCTTCCAAAAATAGATCTCTTCATTAAAATAGTTTGCCAGTTTCTGACGATTGGATTATCTGCTCTTCCTTCCTTCCCTGGCTCCCTGTGCGCTGCTCGCCTGAAGGGCCTTTCCTTCTCCCACCCTGTCAGAAGATAGGACGTTCACTTTCATGCTGCACCTGGTGGTGCTCAGGGGCCACTCGTAGGGGTGTTTGGGGGGACAGAATGGGGACCATTGATTTGGTCATGCCACATGCAAGACAGGCATCTTTACCTCTCACCATCTTTCCTGCCTGTCATATTTCTTCTATTTTTTTTTTGGCTTGGTTTTTGTTCGGGGGCCACACCTGGTGGTGCTCAGGTCTTACTCCTGGCTCTGTGCTCTTGGGGACCATGTGGGATGCAGGGATTGAACCCAGGTCGGCTGTGTGCAAGCAAGTGCCCTGCCTCTCTCAGCCCCTCTCCCCCCAGCAGTCTGCTTCTGTGAGAGCGCTTAAAACACACACACACACACACACACACACACACACACACACTCACTCACTCACTATATATATACACATATATATATATATGAATTTTTGCACTGTGCTTACAGTACTGTTACTGGTAGGGTTCATACATAACAGGACCCCTTTCAGCACCACCTCCTCCCAGTTTAACGCCTCTCTCCGTCATAGATGTTGCCCTTCCCTGTCTTATCCCCCACCCCCCTCAAGTGGCATATTTCCTACTCAATGCCAGTTCTCATGTTCTTTGTGTCTGTTACTGTTTGACCATTATGTTTGTTTATATCCCAAACATGGGAGACAGTTCGATGTGGGTCTTTCTCCCTCTGACTCACTTCACTCAGCGGGATACTCCCTGCGTCCCTCCATGGAGCAGCAGATTTCATTACTTTTTACATTTATATTAATTTTTATATATATTTAATATTATTTAATTTTAATATATTTTAAATATTGAATCACAATGAGATACACAGGTATAAGGTGAGATTTCATTCTTTTATGTTTTCATATGGCCCAGTAATATTCCATTCCATATAGTTTCTTTATCCAGTCATCTTATTCTTGGACTTCGGGTTGTTTCCAGATTTTGGCATAGTGGACAGTGCAGCAAGGAACATGGGGTGCAGAGTGTTTTATAGTTCTCTTTATATAGGTCTTTCTCCTCTTTTAGTTAAGGGTAGTTGATTTTCTGAGGCACAATTTAAACGGCATTTTTTCACTATCTCTTCTCATTGTTCGTACATAGGAAACCCATGTACTTTTGTAGTCTGCTACTTTATAATTTATTGTTTCTAAGAGCTTTTTTGTAGAGACTAGGATTTTCTGAATATAATATCATGTCCAAAGTAGACATACTTTGGACAAACTTGCAGGCTATGGAATGTAGCCTGCCCACAGGGCAGAGTCTGGCAAACTCCCCGTGGCCTACCAAATATGCCAAATACCAGTAACATTGGTGGGTCTCATTCTCCTAGAGAGCCTTGAATATAATCTCAGGGCTAGGATGAAAGAGACGTTACTGGGGCCTGCTCGAGGCAATCGACGAATAACAGGATGATGAAATGAAAAATGAAAAAAATATCATGTCATCCACAAATAATGAGAGCTTGACTTCTTCCTTCCCTATGTCTGGATGCCGTTGGTGCCTCTTTCTTACCTCATTGCTATGGCCAGGCACTTCCAGTACTATATACAGTAGAAGACTGGGCAACCTTGTCTTGTGCCTGATCTGAGAGGAAAGGCTTTTAGTTTTTCCCCATTAAGTATAATGTTTGCTGTGGGCTTGTGGTAGATGGCCTTGACTATGTTGAGGAAAGATGCTTCAGTTCCCTTTTATTGAGAGTTTTTATCATGAATGGGTGCTGGATCTTGTCAAAGTCTTTCCCCGTGTGTATTGATAAGATCATATGGTTTTTATTTTTTCTTTTATTGATACAGTGTATTGTGGTGACTTGTCTATTTAAACCATCTTTGGCTTTCCAGGGATTAATCCCACTTGTTCAGGTTGTCTTGATTTTTTTTTGATAAGTTATTGAATTCCATTTGCTAATACTTTGTTGAGGATCTTTGCATCTGTGTTTCTCAGAGATATCAGCCTGTAATTCTCTTTGGTGTCTGTCTGCTTTTGGTATCTGGTGATGTTTGCTTTATAGAAGCTCTTTGCAAGTGTTTTCCTTCAGTTTCCTGGGGGAGCTGAAAAGGATTGCAGTAGGTCTTTTTACAGGCTTGCAAGAACTCACTAGTGAATCCATCGGGGCCTGGGCCTTTGTTTTGGGGAAGACTTTCGATTGCCCTTTTAATGTCCTCGATAGTGATAGGTCTGCCCAGGTATTCCAGATCATCTTGGTTCAGCCCTGGAAGGTTTTAGAAGTCCGAGAACGTATTTGTTTCTTTTAGGTTCTTATGAATTGTGGCAGAAAGATTCTCAAAGTAATCTCTGATGATCCTTTGAATTTCTAAAGTGTCTGTTGTGACTGTGCCCTTTCATTCCTGGTTCTGTTTATTGCGACCTCTCTTCTTGTGAAGTTTATCAATGTTGTTTATTTTTCCAAAGAACAGCTCTTGGTCTTCTTAATCTTTTGGTTTTTTTCTTTTTATTCCAGTTTTCATGTCTGTGGGGCTCTCCTAACTTTGGTAATGTTTGTAGAGGACTTTATCTAAGGCCTGGAGGGAGGGGGGAGGGGCAGAGGGGATTATCTCCAGAAAAGCTGCAGTGGCTGGTTATGGAGCTACTGGCTTCTGCAGTCTGTGGTACCTTTTTAGGGTGCTGTGAAAAAGTCTCTGTCTGGTAAGATATGACTCCATTGTGTGGTAAATCTAGTTATCACCTAGTATCTCAGTGCCTGGCACTTGGAAATCTTACATCCGACTTGTTTTGGGTTGATTTGTTTGCTTGGGGTCCACATCTTTAGATGCTCAGGGCTTACTCCAGGCTCTGTGCTCAGGAATTATTCCTGGCAGTGCCTGGGGGACCATATAGGATGCCTGGGATTGAACGTGGGTCGGCTGCATGCAAGGCAGACCCCTCCCTGCTGTGCTCTTGCTCAGGCCTCAGTCTGCTGTTCTTTGTAATCGTTTCCCAGCAGAGCCAGAGAAATGGTGACCCAAGTGCTTGTGTGCGGGAGATCTGGGGTGACTCCTGGCTTCTTGTGGGACTTTTGAGCCACCCTCATCCCCAGCGCCACTTGGTGTACCAGACTGAAGCAACAAGTTTTCTCCGACAGGATAGTGGTGGCCTTTAGAACACAGACTTTCGGGTTTAAGAATTCTGAGTTTAGGATTTGAAGAGCCTAGCACAAGTGCCTTTCTTTTGGGGTTCCTCAGGTCCCCAACTCTTGGGCACTCAGCCGTTCTGACTGAGGTCAGCCCTGTGTCTGCCTCCTCCTAGCTGCATGTGTGTTCAGGTTCCTCACGTGGTAGCGAAGAAGAGTAATCATGCTCTGTACGAGTTTGTTAGATGGGTGAAAGGAAGGGCCAGAGCCACAGAACAGCAGGCAGGGCATTTGCCTCGCGTGCGGTTGACCCGGGTTTGCTTCCCGGCAGCCCAGTGGTCCCCTGGGTACTCCAGCAGCAACTCTTGGGTGCACAGCCAGGAAGTAAGCACTGTGGTCCAAAAACTAAACCGTTAATAAAAACCAAAGGAAGTAGACAAAAGACCTGCGCTCCCCCGCCTTTCCCCCTCGACCCACCCCTGGTCAGGGGGCCACGGGGCAGGGGAGAGGGTACTTGAGAGCAGGCGCGCTCTGTTCTGAGGGTCAAGACCAGAGTTGGGGTGTTCATCATCCTTGGCTGTACCTATTAAAGTATTTTTTTTCTTTTTCATACCAAGCGAAACTGGCAAGACGCAGTCAAGAACGAGACAATCTTGGCATGCTGGTGTGGTCACCTAATCAGAATCTCTCGGAAGCCAAACGTAAGTGACAGAATCTTGATCTCTTTATTATTACTGTAAAATGTTAGTCACCTTTTGCATCTCAAGTTCTTAAACATTTTTATTTCTCTTAGATTTCTTAAGTCATTTGAAGAGTTTTAAACTACATATGTTTCTCTTCTATGGCCTGTCATATGATTTAAAAAATGTCTACCGTGTTTACCTAATCCTCCACTTCCTCCAAAATGCCGTTTACGCTGATCCTGAGGCAACTAAGAGGAAAGGCTCTGGGAGAGAGAAAGCGAGGAGGCGGCCCTGGAGGCACCGCGTGTCCCCTCAGCTGGGGACTTACAGGCTCGTACAGTTCTCATCTGAATGACTACAAAGGGCACGTGTGTTTTGGAAACAGGCTTTGCTTTACATACAGACTTCAGCCTCTTAGAAGCAGAGCTCTGGCACCTCAGATGTCTGCATTTGTCGTACCTGTTCTAGGACGAGCATTTTGAGCTCCTTGCTTTTCATTTTGGGGCCGAGGACTTTGTCGTCATTATAATGTTCATCGTATTTGTTTTGTATTTGTTTTTGTTTTTGTTGTTTTGGCCCACACCTGCCACGCTCAGGGCTGACTCAGGGCTCTGTGCTCAGGCATCACTCCTGACAGACCTTGGCAAACCTGACGGAATGCAGGGGATTGAATTGATGTGGCTACAGAGGCTTTTTCCCCACTTTTTTGTGTTGGCCACCCTCAGTGGTGCGCAGGACTGACTCATGGCTCTGCACTCCGGGATCACTCCTGGTGGGCTTGGGAAGCATCTCGGGTGCCCGGATTGGATCTGGCTCAGCTGCGTTGTGAGGCAACTGCCCAACTCAGATTGTACCATCAGTGCCTGCAAAATGGTGGGTTTTTTGGTTTGTTTTTTTTAATGTCTGCCTAATTCTTTGTCATTTTTGAGGTTTTTACTTTCTTCACGACTTAAGAGGAAAAACTAATTAAACCTTCCCTTTGAGGAATTTTATGCATGGAGTTCATGAGGATTTGTGAACTTGGAATTTTTTTTTTTTAATGCATTGTGTTACTCTTCAACGGCCGAGATCCAGAGACTATAAAACCAAGCTTCTGGAAGCTCTAGACCTCTTATTGTCTAGTTCTCAGGCTCAGAAAACCCAGCAGGCTACCGAGAGTCTCCTGCCCGCATGGATGCCTGACTGGGAACACCTGGAAAGGTGATTAGAGGCTGCCCCAAAAGCCTCCATCCCTCTCGCAGAGCCCGGCAAGCTACCGAGAGTATCCCGCCCGCACAGCAGAGCCTGGCAAGCTATTGTGGCGTAATCGATATGCCAAACACAGTAACGATGATCCTCATTCCCCTGACCCTGAAAGAGCCTCCAATATGCCATCGAGCTGCACTAGCACGTGACAGGGATGAATGGAGACATTTACTGGCATGGCACCTGCTCGAGCAAATCGATGAACAGCGGGATGATAGTGATAGTGATGTGTCTCTGGTGGAAAGGACATTGGATTTTCCCGATGGATCTTTAGTGAAAACAGGTTAAAGCATCAGGTTTGGGTTGGAGGGGGCTCAGGACGCAGGGGTGCACCCAGTGTATGCAGGAAACTCGGGTTTCCCGAGCACCTTTCTGAGTTAGGTTCAGGCCAGCACAAGAAGGGGGGGCGGGGAGTCCATGCGTGAGCATGTGGCGGCATAGGAAGCCTCAGGGACTAAGACCTCTTTGGAGAACAGGCACAGTGGGGAGGGCGTTGGCCTTGCACACAGCCGGCCCAGGTTTGATCCCCGGCATCCCATGTGGTCCCCCAAACATCATCAGGAGAAACTCTTGAGTGCAGAGGCATTCCTGAGTGCTCAGAGTGAGCCCTGAGCAACACTGAGAGAGGGAGGGAGGGGGAAAGAAGGGGGGGAGGGAGGGAGGGAGGGAGGGAGAGGAAAGGGGAGGGGAGGAGGGAACGAGAGAGAAGGAGAGAAGGACTAGAGCACGACTAGAGCTCTTGGACTTCAAGTAAGACTCACAGCTCTGATGTTGTTTTTTTGTTTGTTTGTTTTGACTTTTGGGTCACGGGGTTACTCCTGGTTCTGCACTCAGGAATTACTCCTGGCGGTGCTCAAGGGACCCTATGGGATGCTGGGAATCGAACCCGGGGCCACTGTGTGCAAGCCTAACGCCCTCCCCGCTGTGCTCTCGCTCCAGCCCCAATTCACAGTTGTGTTTTGCTGGCGCCCCCTCAGTACCTCCATGGTGGCCCTGGGGGTCTGCAGCTCTGCAGACCGAGTGGCACTATGAGTTGCCAGCCTGTCCTGCCAGGGGGACCCTCCCAGCCCCGCCCTCCTTTTGTGTGTTCAACATACATGTTCACATATTAAAGGCACGACAATCACACAATGAAGAAGTGGGTTTGATTTTGAGAAAGAGGGCTTTTCTTTGTATAAAACCTGTGGAATAAGAGACATTCAGTAATAAGTAGTCCCAGTCTTATCAGATTTTCAGAGTCTGGTAAATTTTGCCTCCATCAGGGTGCTGCTAGCTCTGTTCATAAAGAAGAGAGTGGTGGGGAAAACACTGGGATTTCTGATGTCTTTACTGGCCCGACGCCTTCACTTCCGTCTGTTTACGTGGCAGGAGGCCCGGGGCCAACGCCCTCCCCACTGTGCCTGTTCTCCGGGGCCCGGCTAAATGACAGAGTGGATGCTCAGGCCCTGTGCTCCCAGTGCTCGCGGGGCACCCCCAGTGGTGCGGGGGACCCTGTGCTCCGTCTCCCGCCTCCTGTGCCGCGTGCCCCCCTTCTCTCTCCCTCATCATCCCCTGAGTACGTGAGCTAGGGGCTGCCCCCGTGGCGTTGTGGGGAGGGGGCCAGGAGACAGGCCAGGTACAGAGCCCCGCCTCTGGAACCCACCCTGGCCCTTGGGAAGACATTTTGAGTATTTCCTGTTTTGTTTTGTTTTGCTCTCTGAGCACTCACAGTAGCCTACTAAAAGCGATGTTTTATTTTTGAACATGCTGTTCTTTTCTAACAAAGAGCTGAAAATCTGCCTCCTGCAATCTTTAAAGCTTTATTTTCCTACACTCCGCTTAATAACTGTGCTTCCACACGGATGTCTCGTCTCGTCCTCTCACTCCCTTCACAGCCTTGCCTAGTGCTTCAGGCCTTTCTCCGACCCTGGGGCCCTCCTGGACTCAGTCCAGCTTGCTGCAGTGCCCTCTCAGTGCTGGTGCCCCAGGCAAGTGCAGTGCACTGTTGCTGCGCCGTCGGCCGGCCCGGCTCCGTCCCTGGTACCCTCTGTGCATGGTCCTCTGAGCACCGCCAGGAGAGATCCCCAGCCCCTGCGACCCTGCAAAACATAAAAAATCAATTAAAATTATGGTGCCTAAATATTAAAAGTAGTGAATTTGGGGTTCTTTTACTAAGCACTGTACTCAGATACTCTCCACATCCCATTTTATTTAATCTTCATAATAGCCCAAGAGATTTTGTTGTTCCTGTTTTACAAATGAGACCCTACCAGTCCACAGTGGACCAGCCATGGAACTGACACTGGCCCTTCCTCCCGAGTCATGGCTCTCGGGCTGCACCCGCCTTCATTCTAGCTATCCAGTCACTAACAGTTTAAGGTTATTGGCATCTTGCATCTTGCTTGGCATCTTTGCAGTCAGAATTTTTTTTTTAATTACCTTTTTTGGAGGAGGCAGGGGTTGAGGAACTCATACCCAGCGATGCTCAGGGATCACTCCTGGCATTGCTCGGGGGACAATATGGAATGCCAGGGATCGAACCCCAGTCAACTGCATACAAGAGAAGCATCCTACCCGCTGTAAAATGTTTGCAGTTTTATTTTGCCTCCCTCATTATTGGTATAGGAAAAGACTTTCAGATCTGAAACTTTTCAGGTCAGTCAAAAAGTGATATTTACGTTGAGATTCAAAAAACAGAAAAGTATAAAGAAGAAATGATTGACTCTTTATTTCTTTTTCGCATTAATGTAAACCTTATTGTTGCATCATTTTCTGTGTGTGGGAGTGTTATGTGTACGTATCAGTGTGATGTGTGTGAGCATTGGCCTGCATTTCCCATTGTTGATTAAACCCTGCACAGACGTTTTCAGCCAGTGTCCTGTGACATCTGTCAGATAGCCTTTCTCTGTGACTTGTTTGTTTTATTTCGTTCTGGCTTTTGGGCCACACAGCAATGCTTAGGGGTTACTTCTGGCTCTGCACTCAGGAATTATTCCTGAGATGTCGGGGATCGAACCTGGGCCGGCTGCGTGCAAGGTGTGTGCCTTCTCCGCCGTACGATGGCTCCATCCCAGTGTCCTTCATTTTGTGACTCATTATGACTGTTTTGCGGTTCACCCTTCAAGGGACATGTTATTTCCATACTAGAATGCATACAAATATTTCTCCCAGGTCTTGCTTTCAGTTCTTGTATGTATATACTCAGAGGTGGGGTGCTGGACATCTGTTCTTTGCTGTTTTGTTTTTAATTTTGAATCGAATCACTGTGAATTACGAAGTCTCAGCGTTATTTATGGTTGAGTCTCAGGCAGGCAGTGTTCCCGCAGCCGTCCCTTCCCCCGTGCCCGTTTCCCCCGCCCCCAGCCTTCCTCTGTGACGGGCACTTGTTGGTTTTCCCTCTGCCCCTCCCCGTTTTAAGGAGTTGTGGTTTATAGGACCGCTAGAGAGAGGGTATCACTCATGGCACCTCCTTTTAGCGCCTAGTCCCGGTCCCGAGTGAGCACGTCCCTCTGTCATTGTCATAGCGGTCCCATCCCTCCCCCCCCTCCCCGCACCATGCCCAGTGGCAAGCTGCTTACCAAGTTCTCCTGCTCTTCCCGTCGGTTGCCTTTGGGCATTTGAGACTTGATATTACCCTATGAAATTTATGCTGCTGCATATGAGCGCGGCCCGGCTGTCCCTGTCCTCCTCACCCTGACCTTCCACTCAGCAGGATGCTCTCCAGATTCATCCATGTATCGCACAGTTGCATAACTTCATCTCTTTTTTTTTTTCCTTTCTTTTTTGGGTCACAC